CATTGTTAAAAATGACAAACCATTGGTATCAAAATATGGATGAAGGGTTAATCAATGGAGTTGTCTTTTTAGATCTAAATAAAGCATTTGATACCGTTGACCATGGTATTTTATTAAAAAAAATATATTTGTATGGAGTGAGAGGAAGGGCGCATGACTGGTTTAGATCCTATCTGTCTAATCGTACCCAGTATTGTCAAGTTAATGGCAAACTGTCTGAACCACGAACAATAATTACTGGTATTCCGCAGGGCTCAATTCTTGGACCCTTACTCTTTCTTGTTTACATAAATGACTTGCCAAATTGCTTAAAAAGTGCGGATTGTGACATGTTTGCTGATGATACTCAATTAGGAACGGCAAATAAGGATGTTAAAGTAATTTCTGAAACGTTAAATGATGACCTAGCAAATATTTCAGTTTGGATGGCGGCCAACAAGCTGAGCCTGAACAAAAGCAAAACTGAATATATGTTTATTGGATCACATCAAAAACTTAAACGTCCTTAGACGATTAAGAGATTTTGTTGATATAAGGACTCTAGTAACAGTTTACAAAACCTTAATTCAACCACACTTTGATTACTGCTCGCAAGTATGGGGTTGTCTTGGAATTGCCCTTCAAAACCAATTGCACCGTTTACAAAATAGAGCAGCACGTATCATTACAAAGCGTGGGTATGAATTTAGATCAGCCGATATACTTAAAGAATTAGATTTACCTAATTTAAGTCTCAGAAGAAATAATCAATTATGTACTACTATGTATCAGGTAAATAATAATATGGTGCCTGATTACCTAATTGATTTATTCACGAAAACCAGTACACTACATAATCATCAAACTATGCAGGCTGAATTTAACTTTGCACTCCCGAGGCCAAGCACCAACTTTTGTAAAAAATCATTCTCGTATAGAGGAGCTGTAGCTTGGAATGATTCATTACCTAATATAAAAAATATGGGTTTATTGTCAACCTTCAAAAAGGCTCTAGTGTCAAATAGTGGTAATAATTCTTGATAATCAATTTATCTTTTTTTTCTTTTTCTCTTCGATTTTATTGTATTAACTTTTTAATAAAATATTTTTATAATTGCATGTAATTATTCATACATATATAGCACGGCCTATTGGAAGATCACTTCTTGTAAATATTTTAGTTTTTGTCTTTGTGAAATAGTACCGTGGGTAAATAGAGTTTGATTGATTGATTGATTGATTGATTGATTATGTACAAGGTGTATAATGAAAGGTAATCGAACTTCGGCGCACTATTGAACGTTAATTACTCGGCTTATGAACAAATGTTTTTCATATTCGGAAAGATTAGGCTTTTAGTTATTGAATTACATGCTTTTATGCCATGTGGAGAAAAAATAAGCAAGCTAGAACGAGCCCGATAAAAATTGTTAGTCAGAATCGTATATTTTCACCTCTGTCCCTAATTAAAGCAGTGCATGACAAATAAAAAGCAATTTTAATCACTATAATAATCACAGTTCACGAAACAGGCATCCTTAATTCTCATTTCCCGGACCATTTTTATCAACAATCACGCCTCACGGCTGTAGAACAAATCAGATTTCACGACACTAAAATCAAGCATTTCACATTTCACGCGAACAAATATTGACCATTCACGGCTCACGAAAATACCCTTTCCCACCCTCTTATAATGCAAACTTTAAATTGGACCAATCTGTGTCCGCCATTCATGACAGTTCGCCATATTTTTGAGATCAGTGCGGATGATTAAAATCACGAACTTGTCATAGCTTAGCTTTGGCCTGTTTCTGTCAAATTTCGGTCACGTCGAATCCAATTCAAACAATAGATAATTAACAATTATTGAATGAGGTTGAGCACGATATGAAGAATTATCAAGCCCGAAGTTTGCCGTAGTCAACCGAAGCCGAATGCTGAGGTTGATAATGGCAAACTGAAGGCTTGATAATTCTTCATATTGTGCGAAACCCGAATTCAACAATTGTCTTATTATTTATTTAAAAAATTCAAAACAAACATTTTTATTTTGTTTGTATTAAGAAAAAACCCCAATTCTTTGGTCCTTCGTTGCGTCATATCAATGGCGTCAGCGAGTCAATATGATTCTCGTCGTCATAGTATAATATGGCGCAAACGCCTCCAAATTTTTTTCATATTGACTCTTTGACGTCATTTTGCTAATATGAATGTGAAAAATCCATATTTGGTTAGCCATTGAGTTGATATGACAATTTCACAGTTGACTGTTAGCCAATCAGAAACCAGGAATGTTTTAAATAAATAATATTGAAACTTAGTATAATTACATAGGTGATTATTGAAAATTCTCCACGCTGATTGGTTACCGTTGAGGTGATTATTACGCGATAATCACCTAAGCGATTTTCAAAATGGCGGCCGAAGCCGTTTTGTCAATTAAAAGACGAATAAATGTGCATTTTAAAATTTTTTTCCAAATAATCACCTATGAAATTATACTAAAACAATTATTCACCTCATGCTCGGTGATTATCGTGAATAAAAACCTCGACTTCGTCTCGGTTTTTATTCACCGATAATCACCTCGCCTTAATTCGGCGAATAATTGTTAATTAATGAGTTCTATCATTTCATTATGTATTTTCTTAATTGCATTCGACGCGACCAAAATTCGACGTATAAAATAGGCCTAACATGTATTCCTATACTTGATAATAATTATTGAATATTTGCGTAGTTTATTGAAGTGAAATTTGCCAACTTAAGTCCTAAAGGGGGTTATTTTCAATGGTTTTCGACCCAACTTTCAACGGTCAAAATATGCGATTCTGACTATGACATATTTTTATCGGATTCGTATTAACATTTTGGGCATTTGTTATCCATTTGACATGAAGAACATATCATTCAACAGCTAAAAGCCTGATCTTTCCAAATATGAAAATTCAGATGTAATAGCGCGTTGAAGTTCGATTATCTTTTTGTGATACCTGTATACAGCTATTTCAATTAAGGTTGTCCACGAGCAAAGCGGAAAAGTTGAATACGAGCGCGAAAGGCTGCTAGGAACCGCTTTGAAAATTAATTAATTTGTTAGCAATTCCCAGCAGCTTTTCGCGCTCGTATTCGACTTTTCCGCTTTGCTCGTGGACAACCTTAAATGAAATAGCTGTATATCCGCCCGGAATAGTCTGGTTATTTTAACATTAACGTGCTGGTCAAGCATAACTAATTAAACTATGATGAGATGAGTGCTGTCAAGAAACAAAGTAAATGTACTTCATTACTGTACTTGAATACTATTTTTGAGAAGTCAGCATGTAACAAAGTAAACTTTTTCTGGAGTACTTTTACTTGGAACGAAGTCGTTTTAAGAAGTAAAGTTTTATTTCGTTATTATCATTTTGTCGCGAAGTATTGCGTTACTTTCTTACTTGTGTTTAATTTTTCGCGATTTATTTCGGAATTATTTTAATTTTGGGATAGGTAATAGGGATCTCCCGTTTGTGGCTTGCTTATAAGCATTATCTATTTAATTAATGGATTTCTTATACCTTCAACGGGGTCCGGAAAGTAGAACATGCCGTGAAATATTGTATATATTAGGTGCACTCGTATAATGCATGTGTTGCTTTGTGTCTTTTGTATGTTAATCCATTGGAGAAGTCCCCCCTCCCCCTACACGCTACAGACAATTGTACTCTACTTTTACTTTTTACTTCAAGTATTTTTTAAGGATACTTTGTACTTTTTACTTAAGAATACGTTTTGCCTCCAGTACTTTTTACTCTTACTCAAGTCGTTTTATTGTTCATTACTTTTACATTTACTCGAGTACAAATTCATAGTAATTTAGGCACCATTGTTATACGTTAACCCAAGAGTTTTTCTAGAAAGTAACAAGTATGAAAACAAACTCCAAGTCAAAGTTTCAAACAAATTTTGTGAAAGATTTTTGTTTGATCATGAATAAAGTTACAGCAGGCAATGGCGGATATTCATCAAGTAGTTAGTAACACCGCCGTTCTTGTTGTTGTTCTTGTTGTTGCTGCTGTTGATATTGTTGTGGATAGTATTGTTGTGGATAGTGTTGTTGTTTCTATTGTTGCTATTGCGGTTATTGGACCTGTTGCTACTGTTGTGATGCTGTTTTAGTGGATGTTGTTGTTCCTGTTATTGCAACTGCTGCTTTGTTGGGCATTTTGTCATTCAATTGCAAGCTGTTGCAATTGTTGATTTGGTTATTTTTGGCGATGCTGCTTCCATGTTGGTTTCTGTCGTTGTTACTCAAACTAACGGTAATTATTTTTAAATATTCTGTTCATAGAAGAAGCCACCCAGTGCTCGAAAGACAAGTTGACGGTTGCGGACAACAGTGGTCATGGCTACACAATATGTGGTCATGCGTCATCTGCTGGCTGCCTGGATACCCACAATGATAGTGATGTCTCATTTCATTTTACAACTGACGGGAATGGCACTGGAAACGGATTTATGTTGAACTACAAACTCATTGACAAACCAACCTCGAGTAAGTACGATCAGTGACAAACTAAGCGGCATTACAGTAATTATTGCGGATACGATTTTCGGGCTTCCATTTATAACAGTGTTTCTACACTGAAGGATTATCAACCTGCTTAAAGAATTTCAATTTAGCGCGATGTACAAAAAGTATATTTATTGCGCATTACAGTACGGCGACGGAATAGGTTTTGTTGTTTGTTTGAG